GATAATTTCCAAAGTGAAAAAAGAATCTGCAAGTACTGCCATAGAGTTATTGTTAGGAGGAGTGTCTTGTACCCTATTACTTAGCAAGGAATTGCCCAAGTCATAAAAATATACTTGTCTAAGACAAATATTTAAGCTAGAATAAAAATAAAAAGAGACTTTATAAACAAAAGGTTGGAAAAGAGAACTCTTGGCAACAAATAGTCTTGTAAAATCTGAGAAGAAGGTACTAGGAAAAAAAGAGGATAGATACAACTAATTCAAAATGAGCAAGAGCTATGTGCTGGGAAGCAGCAGGTGGTGGAGATACAGTGTTGAAGGACGAGAACACATAATTCCTCCAGAATGCAAGCTCTTTAAGAGCACAGATAAGGTGTGTATCCTCAGGAAATATTCTGCAGGAGGAGCTTGTGTTTAAAGGAAAAGCTTAGTATATTTGTGTCCTGGCAGCTTTAATTGAATGAAAATAGACTGACAGGAGCAACAGTCCCAGGGGATAGAGATGTTGAGACACCACACCACCCAGTCCATGTCAGGAACAAATAGGTTTCAGGGATAAATTATACTTCCCCAAATATAAGACAAGAAGGTTAAATAACTTACAGTTGGGAGGAAGGAGCTAGAGAAAGAAGATTATTGAAAGGTAGGAGGTACTATCAGGGCTTAAAGAATATTTAATTTCTAAAAAAGGAAAGCAGAGAGGAGTTCATGCCAGACTGAAAGACTTAAATCTAACTTTTAAAATAAACCAAATGGTGAAATGGCAAACTGAAGCCACTACTAACCAACTGTGTATTCACATCATGCCTTTGTTAAAAAGGCTGAGTACATCACTATTATAATAATATCAGGGCAGAAAGGAAAGGGAGGTGGCATTTGTTATTTTAAAAAGAATACTAGAAAATCAATTATACATTTACTCCTGAGAACAAAGTCTAGGTCTTCTAGCTGTTTTTTTTTATTTTTTTAAATTTTTTTCTTTTATTTATTTGTTGTTTATGTGATACTAGGGAGTCAAACCCAGGGCTTCATGGATTCTAGACAAGCACTTTACCTCTAAGCCACTTTCCTAGACCAGGTATTCTAACTTTGTGTGTGTGTGTGTGTGTGTGTGTGTGTGTGTGTGTGTGTGTGTGTGTGTGTGTGTATGTGTGTGTGTGTGTGTGTGTATGCCAATCCTAGGACTTGATCTCAGGGCCTAGGCACTGTCCCTGAGCTTCCTTTGCTCAAGGCTAGCACTCTACCACTTGAGCCACAGTGCCACTTCTGGCTTTTTCTGTATATGTGGTACTAGGAATCAAACACAGGGCTTCTTGCATGCAAGGCAAGCACTCTACCACTAAGCCATGTTCCCAACAACCTAACTTTTAAACTACAGTTGGCTCTCTAAAGTTTAGTCTTTCCTATTGTCAAATAATATGCTCAAATTTATATTTTAATTCTCAGTAGGTTAAAAAAAAGTCTTAATTCTATGAGAGAAAGACATGGAACTTAACTTTTTTTTTTGTCAGTCCTGGGGCTTGAACACTGCCTGAGTGCTATCCTTGATCTGGCTCAAGGTGAGCACTCTACCATTTAAGCCACAACTCCACTTGCAGTTTTCTGGTGGTTAATTGGAGATAAGAGTGTCACAGACTTTCCTGACCAGGCTGGCTTTGAAACATGATCCTCAGATCTCAGCCTCCTGAGAAGCTAGGATTACAGATGTGAGCCACCAGCCCCCAGCTGACATGGCACTTTCTCCATGTCATTTAAAAATTGCCTATCACTTTAAAGCTTCTATTTTAAAATAATATGATATTCATATGGCTGTGATAGGCTTATTCCACACAAATAAATCTTTCAAACTGACTTTCTGGGTTATTCAACAGATCTGACCATGTTTTATATATACTTAGTGGCCTAGTTTTTATTTGAAAAAATAATGAGATATGAAAATACTGTTATATTTAGAAAGGCAACTCCAATTTTATAATTTTATAATACTTACAAAATTAGTTTAATGAAGATGCATCTTAAATTATAGGAAAATTTTAATTTAATGACACAATTACATACATATGTTACAGAACTAAAAATGAACACAAAGAAAGCATGTTCTCCTCTAATAGCTCTATGTATAAAAATTGTGAGATTCCAAGTTAAACAATTTTTAAAGATTATAAATTTCCACCTTTGAATCTATCTTTCATTTCCTGTAAATGATTCAAAGCATTTGCTAAAATTTCTTTATTAAATTTCATTTCCCAATAACCTTTCAAAATGTCAAAGTTTATGAAATTATAATTACCTAAAAACCAGTAATTTCTAAATTATATTCTCAGTCCTTATTTGGGGACTTGAGGTTCTAAGTATTTTTTTCCTTATAGACATTGAACCCAAAGTGATGTATATTCAATTGTGAACTTTTTTCTAGATTAGTTTGAGGGGTAGCCTCAAAGTATGTGTTCTTGTAGTAGGAGTGAGTTCATTGTTTTTATGACTCTCCTCCTTAAAAACTTTTATGGAAGCAGTAACTGAGCCACAATTCATCTCCAATATACTTTATGCTACTTGAAATATGTACAAAATGATGAACATTTTGTCTGAACTTCAGTAGGCATACTAGGATTGATCTCCTCTAAAAACTTCTCAACGCTATTCCAATTAGGAAGCTTTTCCCTGTTTTCATATAAGCTGCCATGTAAACCCACTGCTGGCCATTTCCACAGATGTCTTTAAAACATTAAAGTATAATGTTGTGTTCCCACAAGTCTTGCCTCCTATTTTTTTCTTGTCAATCTGCAGACTGGGCCATAATGTATTCGATAAGGGCCCAGATGCTGATAGTTCACATCTATAATCCTAGCTACTCAGGAGGCTGAGATCTGAAGAATAGAGTTCAAAGCCAGTGTGGGTAGGAGAGTTCATGAGACTCTTGTCTCCAATTTATCACAGAAAAAGCCGGAAGTGGTGCTGTGGCTCAAGGGGTAGAATGCTAGCCTTGAGCAAAACATACCCAGGGACAGCACCTAGCCCCTGAGTTCAAGCCCCAGTACTGGCCAAAAATAAAAAAGTATTCAACAAGGCAGTAACAGAATCACCATGTTTTAGTAAGAACTTAGGGTAAAATTTAAAAATAACATATATAGAGCATACGAGAAAGAGGGCAAAATGGCGTAGCAGTTCCCTAGCCTTGAACTTCAGAAATTCAAAAAAAAAATGACTAGTCAGCCATCATGAAAATGACAAAGAAAGAGGAAACTGCACAGACCTAATGTCAGAAGACTAAGGGAGAATGATGGAAAATGGAGATCAGAATCATCCCTTATTTAGAGTAAACCCCTGATACTATAATTTGCAAAAGAGCAATTCCATTGGCTATTTCAAGACCTGACCAGATGGCCACGTGTGTACATCCTAAAAAAAACCCACAGAGCATGCATGGCCTTTTCAAGTCCTCTGAACTTTGCTATAAGTGACAGGGCTTGAGAAGATCTTCCTTCTATAGCCATTGCCATTTGAAACCTCAAACCAGTCCCACTCAAGAAGTTCCATTAATACCAAGTCCTTGTTGACTGGTACTTCCTGAAGTCTGTAATTCACCCAGAGATGAAGTCAGCCTGAGCCACTAGAGAAAACCTCCTCTGCACTGGAACAAAGAAAATTCTTCTTAAAGGGATACTACATTCAAAACTCTGAGAGATAAAGACCATAAAAGTACTGACAGGCTTCAGTCCCACGATAGCTGTCCACTCCTAGGTCCTGCTTTCCTAAAAATAGCCCCCAGAGTACAGATCTCTTTCTCTTTGCCCTAAGAAAGCTAAAGAACTCTCAAAGGGGAGTGGCAACTGACTCTGAAACTCGATGCTATCTGTGAGGTCAGTTTGCCCAGAAATAAAAGGGAGCCTGCAGAGCAAGGAGGACTCTACTCAGGGACTGGAGCTGCCCTCAACCTACTCTTCAGCCTCTTCTCTCTGACTTGCAGCCCAGAACTCATTCCATCATGGTGGGTCCTCCAAGAAAGCTACTTGCCATTTATAGGAAGATAGAGTTCAATGTCTAGGAACTTTTTGAGAAAGAAAGGCAGACAAGGAATAGAATTGAGGGAAGAACATATCCAGGTCAAATACTTAAAATGAAGTATATTGATGATAGAATTAATTACTTAAAGCTGTGGTGCCAATTGAAAAAAAAATACATCTTACTCCTAAGAATGCTTTATATTTCACCAGTGTTTGCTCTATCATAAAGGCTTATCTAAATTTAAAAAAGCAACCTGGAGCAAGATAGTATACCTTAACCTACAATCAATCCAGTGGTAACTGCTGGCTGCGATTAAACTGCTTCTGATGCTTTGGGTATTATATTTTAGTATAAAAATGTACTAGCAGTGGAGAGATTTAAGAGTCTTTATGTACAGTTCATCTGTACTTTTCCATAGAGTGAGTGATATGTGTTAGTTATGTCTTAAATGTACTAAGAAGAAATTGTTCTAGGAAGAATTTGATTTAGCATTTGTTGCATCATGGATTCATCTCTTAAAATACTGAGAACTATTTCCTAATTGTCTTTCTCAAAAGATTTATCTGTTCCTAGATTCAAAAGTACTCTAAGGCAATCTTCTTATTCTGTGACGCCTACCTAGACTTCCTAAAAGTCTCAGGGCAGAGAGCACTCACTTTCTGTCAATGCATTTGAAAGGGTACTAGTTGTTTCTTCCTTTCTCTCTCCCGCCACTGCAGTCCTTCAGTGCTGACCAGATTGCAGGTAAGTGATCTGAACTTCTCTACTGCAGATGTAGGCAGAGGACTGCCTGGTTTCTGAAATGTCACTTAACACCAAGGCTTGCTTATTTTGTGGTTCAATCTGTCTGTGTCCAAGCTATGCCTGAACTTGGAAAAGTAGCCTGACTTCTAGAGCTTACTTTGAAGAGTATTCAGGAAATGAGCTGGATACACTTAAAAATCAGGACATTTTTGTTCGGTTAAATGTTTTTGTGATTAATTTTTTTCTAACAGATCGAGTTCTCTAAGGAACAACAGGATGGTAAGTTTAAAAGCTATAGTTGTTAATATGTGCACACTCATTAGATGACATGTGAGAAAACCAACTCCCTTGGGATGAGCTCAATGCTTCCTAATTATCCACAGTTGTTACTGCCATGCTAAATATAAATTGCTCTCAATGATGCCAGATATGTTTGTTCAACCTGTAGTCTTTGCTTATAATCAGTAATCAAAGATTTAAGCAAATAACAACTAAACACCACAAAAGAAATCCTTAATTTCTAAGTAAAACTGATCACACACTTAGATGTGTATATACTCACAAAAGGTGTTGATTTTTACCAATAAAATCCCTACAAAGAGATTTGAAGACTGACTCGCTCAATTAAGAAAACAAAATAAGTTATAAAGACTGTCCACTTACCAAATCTAAACAATTTCAATAGCAATCATAGTGAATTATAGAACAAAAGTGACTTCAAAAACGAAGAAGAAGGTACAATTTGTCTCAGAGCTGTGGGAGGGAACACTACCCATCCTCTGGCCAACCTCTGTCCAATAGATCCAGGATGGATACCCAGAGAGGTGATAGTATCACCTCAAAACTTGGTGATACTATCAAAATCTGGTATGGTTTTAAACCAATTGGAAATTTATTTCATAAAAAGTTTCTTGCAAGGAGTTTCCAAAGTCTTAAGATTCAAAGATCCTGAATTTTAAAAAGACTTTAATATTTCTTTTGAGACTTGGGTGTGTGTGTGTGTGTGTGTGTGTGTGTGTGTGTGTGTGTGTGTGTGTATGTGTTAGTAATGGGGTTTGAGTTCAGGACCTAGAAATTGGCTCTGAGGGTTTTCTTTGTTTTTTTTTTTGTTTTTTTGTTTTTTTTTTTGCAAAATTAGCACTTGATCACTAATATTTTGGCCAATTTGAAGATGAGTATTAACTTTCTTGTCCAGGCTGGCTTTGAACTAGGATCCTCAGTCTCAGTCTCCTTGAGTAACTAGGATTACAGGCATGAGCCCCCAGCACTTGGCTACCTTTTGAGTCTTTGGATCCAACAGGTGTCATGTCTAATAGGCCCTTACTTTTTTCATTAGGAAGTAAAGGAAGGCATGGTTGTACAGTGCCACACCATTTGAATGAACCGATACAGAAATACATCTATAGAAAGGAGGGAATGAAACAGTTTGGTCATATACTACTGCATAAGTTTGAATATTGATCACAGTCATATAATACGTATTTCTTATGTTAACAGAGGTATAAATAATATAAATATGGATAATTAGTAAAGACCTATTTGGGTTCCTGTACCTGAAGAAATCCTCATTCTTCACTCTTAGTGTAGTGCCTGTCATGTTCTTCACTTGGGTATCAATTAAGAAAAACTGGATGTTTACTATACTCTAAAAGATGTTACTGTTACCTAAATGATGGGTGATGAGCCCATGTAGAAAGAAGACTGAATGAATGGGTTACTTACAGATCAAGATCATTCAAAAAGTTTATATACTGTGGCATTTTTGGAAATTACATTATAATTTGTTTGACATTAATGTACTTTTTGCTAGTGATACATCTAGTCTTGCATGCCAACCCTCTCTAGGTCTAATTTACTATGTCATTATGACTGCCAAGTTATGGTAGGATCAAGCAATGAAAGATTTTCAAACCCTTGCAGAGACCCACAGACTCACTGTTGAATATGAAACCTATTGCTCCACATGTGAAATAGGTTTTAGACAAGAAGTTGAATAAAATTAACATAGTGAACTGGTTTCCTTTCATTTTAGGAAAACAAATGTGAGCTTTTAAAATTAAATGGAAATCCTGTACTTTCAGAAATGAATAAAAGCTAGCTCATTTCCTTGTTTAATGTTTAAAGAAGTTTGCTCATGCTGCTCTATTTGTACTAAGAGAACAAAAAGGACAGTAGGAAAGAAAAACATTACAGCATTCCAAATGTCTAAGTCCTATGATGTCTAGTTAATTTGCCACCAGCCCCATGATGCTACAGACTACTATTTATCAAAAATTAATAATTTTAAAATTTATTATCTTCTTCAAGGGCAGTAGTCATATCCAAGAGTCAAAGAAAGTAGCTACCTTTGGGGGAAGGGGAATATACAGAACAATTCTATCATTACCCTAAAGTTCTAAATCTATGTTCTTCTGTACTACTGGGGAAAATAGGAAACATATTAGATATCAGTAGTCTGTTAAAAAATCTATTCTGTTATTGAAATATGGAAATGGCTACAGATTAATACATGAGTAAATGGGAATAAACTTTCTTTATAGAAATAAGGAGGCAGCCCTGGGAAGTAGTTTGTCAATCCAAATTCTAGAGTCCTCAAGAGAGTAACCAAGACTTTGGTTACAAGTATGGAACACAAAGAATATATGTTTTTTCTGGTCTCTACATGATATCAACACAAACGTTAAATGAAAAAATGATTCTGTTACAGCCCATAAAAGTCTGACTCCTACACCAGTACCTGACCAAGGTAATTGTGAGCTCTTTGAGTATTGAGCCAGTAACAAGAATAGTTCAATTTCACATGTCCCTTAGAAAGATGGAAAATAATATTTGGCTTATGGCGCCACAGGATCTGCAGCATCTATTTTAGGTATTTTAGCTATCTGATAAATAATCTGTCGAGAAAGTATCTCGTGTGTGTGTGTGTGTGTGTGTGTGTGTGTGTGCACTTGCACACTAATCCTAGGGTTTGAACTCAGTGCTGATTCTGAGCTGTTTTGCTCAAGGAAAGTGCTCTACCACTTGAGCCACAACACCACTTTTGGCTTTTTGGTGGTTAATTAGAAATAAGAGTCTCAGAGATTTTCTACCCGGGCTGGCTTTGCACTGTGATCCTCAAATCTCAGCCTTTTGAGCAGCTAGAATTACAGGCATGAGCCACCGTGCCTGGCCTTGACAGTATCCTTTGATTGGAAACTACTGGTTGAACTTAAAAGAGTATATTTTCAGCTCTACTAGTTCATTCAAAAATATTTTAGTGCCCTTAATATTCCAATAAATCACCATCAATACTTCTGGACTTCTCACACATTTAAGTTTACAAATTTTAGTTTAAATGGCCTCAGTGGGCCTCTAAATCTGTAGTAACCCCTCTTCCTTTTTTGTACGTAATTTCTAAACTCCTTGTCATTTTAATTTGAAAAATAAAACCAGTTCAATCAAAAGAGAACAAAGATGATGAGGAAAATAACATACGTGTACTGAATTTCCCCTTCCATTTAGTAAACAAGAAATATGAAAAAAATAAGTAAACAAGAAATATGAAAAAACACACAAGCTAAAGATACAGCTCTGTGAGTGGAGAACGTACCTAACATGCAAGAGGCCTAGGTTCAATCCCCAGTACCACAAGAATAAATAGATAGATAAATAAGTAAACAAACTAACAACCTGTCAGTTGAGTCCATTAATGTGAATATTCTGGTCTCAACAACATCCTATGATTTTGTTCAATGTTGCTATCAGGAGAAAGCTGGGTCAAGTATACAATAGATCTCTCTACACTATTTCATATAATTGCGTGTGAAGCTACAAGTATCTACATTAAAAGTTAACTTAAAATATACACTTAAATTACACTCTAGAAGCGTATTATTGTATACATTACCTTGAAAAAAGACTAAAGTATAGACATAATTATAGCAACAATCCAAAAAGACTACATGTTCTTCTGAATGTCTTATCCCAGAAGCCTATTAGGGTTGCACACAGAAGTGGTTAGATGATATAGGAATTACAGGTTTCTCTCACTCTTGTAAATTTTTCCCTGAAAAATAAAATTGTTTCAGAAGAAAACCTAATTGAGTTGAGAGCCGAGAAAACCTGTATATCAAGAAGAGGTTTCTCTATATAATTTAAGAAAGAAACTGGATTAACTTCACCTAACAAAACCCTGATGAGATATGGGTTTTTTTGACATTTGAACATGAGTAGTTATATAATGAATTTTATGAGGATTATTAGATTGTCTCAAGGTCTAAGAATTTCTTACCTGAGCCCTCCTTTCCAGGTAGGTGAAGGAAATATGAATAATTATGACTAGGAAGTTTCATTTTTCATAAGAGATTATGAAGCATGTATCAGCATGTATTGAAATTGGAAGTGGTGCTTCAACATAATCCTACAAAGAAATGATTACAGTATTCACTAATGATTGCGGTAAAAGAAGGGAGGTTCTGTTAGACATCAGGGGCTCACCCTGGAAATCCTAGCTACTCAGAAGTAAACTGAGGATTGCTAGTTCGAAACTAGCTGAGGCAGTAAAGTCCTTGAGACTCTTATGGCCGATTAACCAACCATAAAGCAGAAAGTGGCGCTGTGGCTCAAGTGCTAGCCTTACACAAAAAAGCTCAGGGACCGCAGCCAGGCCGGTGTTCTGGCACCAGGACCAGCACAAAAAAAGGTGGAGGGGGGCGGCGTTGAGAAGATAACAATTTGAGTGGTTGGCAAAAATCTGTAAAACAAAAAAGAATTTGAACTGAATCCTTGAAAGAGCACAAAATTAAGAGTGAGCGAAGGTGTGAATAGCAAAAAGATGGGTCAGAATGTTGAAAGGGGTGACATTGATCAAGAGATATTGTCTTTATAAACTGTTTTGTTAAATGGCAACTCCTTTGCACAACTACTTAAAGAAAATTTTAAAAAGATTAACTAATAGTTTGGAAAAAGGAAACAAACACCATAATGTTCCTTGCCTCTTGCAGAATTCAAGGAGGCATTTCTCCTGTTCGACAGAACAGGTGAATGCAAGATCACCTTGAGCCAGGTCGGTGATGTTCTTCGGGCACTGGGCACAAATCCCACCAATGCAGAGGTCAAGAAAGTCCTGGGGAACCCCAGCAATGAAGGTAACTCACCAGTTCTTTCCAGATCTGTGTATATCAAAGCCTAGATGGGGTTAGGGAGAGGCAAAGAGAAGGAGAGAGAGGGAGCAGGAAAAGAACAGAAATAAATAAGGCTCAGGTTACTCCTGATGACGGAGGCTGTGTGCCTACTGGCAATCTAGAGTCTTAGCCTTTGTCCTCATAAAATGAATGACCCCTACTTTAGAGAGGATCTGAGAGCCATGATAAACTGCATCATGCTTCCATGATAAAAGTGATGCCTCCTGCCAAGATCATCCTCCTCAGAATCATGTCTAATGACTATAGCTGAGGAGTTAAGGAGCTAGCTAATAGCCAAATTAGTGTACATTTTCACACTCCAAACCTTTAAAAGCAAAATCGATTTTAACAAAGAAAGTAAATATGAGTAAAACCGAGTGGACTTTTTATAGGGTATCAGTTAATCTACAATGCCATACTTCTAGAGGAAAAAACATATTTTTAATAAAAACTCTGCAAATAAAGTTTCAGTGTTGGGAAGTGATTGAAAGATGCATGCTTCCTTTGGCGTGTATACTGTCTTTGACACTGCTTCTCAAGCTGCCTTTAAAAGAAACTCAGCTATCTTAATTAAGAACAGACACATTGACATCTCTATGTGTGCTTTCTATTTCCAATAAATTACAAAAGATTTGAAAATCCTACACCAGAACCTGCATTCAGTGCCCCAGGGTAAATCTTGGATCAGAAACCAGTAGTATATGTAAGTGGTAAAATGGCACAAGTTATTCACTTGAGGTAGAAACCCAATCATTAGTTTGGAACACGGAAATTGTTTTTAATCCCAATGGTTCATGACAAAGTTTAACAGTCAACTGGAAAATGTGAGTCTAAACAAAAAAGACCTAACACAAAACTGAAGTCTTTTAAGTAGCTATTTGGACTATTTATTTTTACTATTACGGGGGAAAAGGAAAAGGGAGGAAAATAACCCTGTAATTCTTTTTAGTAACTAAGAATATTTTGGTGATTTTCCTTCATTAGAAAAGAAAAAAGAACTTTGATTTCAAGAAAACTTCTAAATAAGTCTGCTGAAGATTTCCTCATTTTCTTTGAAAGAAATTTACAGTTAAATCATGCAGAAAGTAACTGGAGTAGGAGATAAAGTGAGAAAATAATAGTCTAAATCCTATTTTTAAATGTCCTTGCCTAACCTGCCAACATCCATTTTAAAAAGAATTATTAGGTAAATGCTCATTTATGGAGCATTCAAATGTAACCTACCTAATATTGCCCTAGATTTCTATTTTTTTAAAAAAGAATAGAGGAACTTTTATTGTTATTTTATGAGTACACAACTTTATCCACTTGTCTATGTCTGGATAGTCTATTTCATAATTTTATCATGAAGGAATTTGTCAGAGATATCAAAGATTCTCCATTACACAGCTGTAAGGAGCTCACAGAATATTTGACTCAAGGACTTTCTTCATAAGGTTTATTATTTGGTTGGGGATTTTTTGGTTGATTTTTTTTTTTTTTTTGTCAGTCATGGGGCTTGAACTTTGGGACTGGGCTTTTTCCCTCAGCTCTTCAGCTTGAGGTAAACGCTCTACCACTTGAACTACAGAGCCACTTCCGGTTTTCTGGTAGTTTATTGGAGATAATAGTCTTACAGACCTTTTCTGCCAGGGCTGGCTTTGAATTGCAATCCTCAAATCTCAGCCTCTTATAAGCTTTTTTATTTACTTAAAACTTAAAGAAATGTAAGGCTATAGGAAAGCTCAGGACATGGGTACAAAAGTTAAGTTTTATTTTGTCTATATGGTGACAGGTTTATAGAAGCACACCACCATATTGCATTCCTAGCGATAGAATATATTAAATTGGCATTACTAAGAAAATAGTAGGTAACATTTATTAAGCACCAAATTTTACCCACAAACTTTAATAAGCTTTATATGTATTATCTTAGTTAATTCTCATAATGACACCCTGAGGTAATTGTGGTTTACAGATGAAGACTTAATACACAAAGAACTTTAAAAAGTTCCCTACTGTTGCATAGTTATAAGTGGTGGATTAGAAGTAGAATCGCAGCCCAAGGGCTCTGTAATTCATGTTATTATTATCTATTATCATATTTTTGTTATTTTAGCATTTTACAACTGAAATTTAAGCTCTGTGAAGATTTTTTTAAGAGCATCTGGAATGACTTTCAAGTGTAACTTGTAATTCAGAAATGGTATTTTATGTAGCTATTAACTCTCCAAATTAAAATATCTTCCAGAAATGAATGCCAAGAAAATTGAGTTTGAACAATTTCTGCCCATGATGCAAGCTATTTCCAACAACAAGGACCAGGGTGGCTATGAAGATTTTGTTGAGGGTCTGCGTGTCTTTGACAAGGAAGGCAATGGCACGGTCATGGGTGCGGAACTCCGCCATGTGCTAGCCACTCTGGGTAAGGAGAATGTATTGCAAGGACTTAATAGGACAGAATATACAGGGAAGTTTGTGACATGATAGGAGAATAATGTCATCACCAAAACAAAGGAAGGTGAAGGACTGTAGCTCAGTCAATAACTGTTTCAATTAGTCTCAAAGACAGTGAATTTGTTTCAGGAAAATTAGCAATGAATAAATAAAGCATTGTAGTACCTATAGGAAATAGTTTGGAGAATAAGGTATAATGTGCATTTTATGCATTCATTAAAAACAGTGTGCGGATCACTTACTGAGCATCAGGAAAAGAGGAAGGAACGCGTTTTGTTTTGTTTTGTTTTGAATAGTTAGAATTATGACAGACTTTTGAAAATGAATGCAGCCTTGTTTCTAACAAGAGGGTGGGATGTGTTTCCCCAGGTGAAAAGATGAAAGAGGAAGAAGTGGAAGCCCTCATGGCAGGCCAAGAAGACTCCAACGGCTGCATCAACTATGAAGGTACAACCAATGCACACTGGTGGCTTCAGCAACTCTGATTTAGTTGATAATAGATTCCACTGGAACTAAAATTCTTCCTTTCTCTTGACAGACACACATTTTATGCTATCAGATAGTTGTGTAACTCTAAGAAGATATCCCGTGAGGATCTGAATAGAGACATGAGATTTATTCCAGTGTTTTTTGTTTTTGTTTTACCAAACACATGCATTGTTTTACAGTTTAACATGTGCTTTCTCACCTATGTTTTTCTTGTTAGATCTTAGGCTGGAAGACAGGCAGGGCTTGTGTCAGAATCAATAGCTTAGACTAGAATATTAAAGTTGTGGAGATTTTAAAGTACAAAATGTCAAACAATGATAAAAGTGGCAAAACTGAAGGCTTTAAGGCTTCAGTTACTTAGTGACAATCAAATGATTAATAACAGAGCTAACACTTAAATTTAGTTCTTGTCATCTACTGCTCTTGCATACATGAAAATCATTCTTTAGCTGGGCATAATGGAACTTATCTGCAAGGCCAACATTCAGGAGACTGAGGCAGGAATATCTCAAGTTCAAGGCCTGGACTACAGAGTGAGACATTGGGAAGGAAGGAAGGAAGGAAGGAAGGAAGGAAGGAAGGAAGGAAGGAAGGAAGGA